TACTTCACATGCAGAAAAAGTATATGAGATCACTCCATTCCCAAACAGAAGATCTATAATTATTTATTAAAGAATATATGTAAATATTTTTTTATGAGCTACCCAACAGAGTCTTAGGATTAAGGTACGTGAAAAGCCTATCTTGAAATTTTTGCCCTCCAGAGCATATAGGATTTTCATTGTCATTCATGAAATTTTGCAAGAAAAATGCATGCATCATTTTCCGAACCTTTGCCTTTGTAATGTTATAGAACGGCTTCCTTGTGTATGAAGGACGTGCATAAAACCCCAGACGCAATAGACCTTAGTCGATAAACATTGGTTTATAAATAGCATATGGATATAACGAACAAAAGTCCATAAAACAGTACAAAACACGGGCAGAGCAAACACGGACCTCCAAAACATGAAAGGTGGGATCAGGTGCCATGGACGAGTGAGCATCCCCTGCCTGCCTGTCTCACTAGCCGTTGTTCTCCTAGTCATGATTGGGATGTAACGAAAACAAGCTAATACAGAGAATTTGTGTCCCCGCTTAGGGAAAAAGTAAACCGTGCGCAGTTCGGGGTCGGGGGTCGGATCCCCCTGATTGAATTTGTAGAATTATTAAATGTATACATGTATACTGAAGCAAATAAAATATACCAATATTGATATAAACATCTGATTGCTTATTCTTTATTATGTGTATAGAAGATTCTTTTTATATGGAATATTTATCACAATGTAATGATTATTTTATAACCTCACAATTTTTTCCCATGCTGAATGCTATCATATAATAAAAAAAGAAAGGTATTTAAAAAAAAAAACATCGTCCGAGATTCGATCCCAGGACCTATCAAATGTGAAGCGAGAGACATTCCACTAGACCACGGAATCGCTTTACCAGCAGACAAATATATGCAGAATAAAGTCACATACTTGTATATATTCATGTTCTATATTCTCAAACTTATACACAATCCATGGTGTTTGATTATTTAGCCTTTATTAAACAGTTCTAATAAATGTTATAAGAACATAGAGTCCGCCGAGAACCTGTTTTATACGCAATAACACTCCTCGTGCCCCTAAAAATAGCGACATGTAATACTATAAAAACTAATAAAACAAACGGGACTGGGCACTTTGAGAGGGGTGAGAGAGGTCCTAGGGAGTTTTGGTATAAAATTACATTGCATGAGCTCAAAATCTTTTTTTGAAATATCGCCCGGAAATGATAGTGTTACACACAGACAGAATGTATAAATTTACGACCTTGAAATTTGACCTTTTGACTTCAAAATCAATAGAGCTTTTCATTAGGCCACAGGGAGTTGTTATGTAAAATTTCAACATAAAAGCTAAAATGGTTCTAGAGTTATCGTGTGGAAACGAAAGTGTTATAACAGACAGAATTTGCTTATTCATGACCTTGACCTTTGACCTTCAAGGGAGTTTTGGTATAAAATTTGCGAATTTATGACCTTGACCTTTTGACCTCAAAATCAATAGTGTTCTTGTATAGTCCATAGGGAGTTGCTTTGCAAAATTTCATTGCGAAAGCTCAAAGGGTTCTCGAGATATCGTGTGGAAACGAAAGCTTTACAGACAGACAGAAAGATGGACGGACAGACGGACGGACGGACAGACCCAAATTAATATTCCCAACTTTTCAAGCGGGGGACAAAAATTTAATTGCGAAAGCTAAAAGGGTTCTCGAGATATCTTGTGGAAATGAAAGTGTTACAGACAGACAGAAAAGTTAGTCATATCGTTTATCTTAGAGCTTAGTTATTATATTACCATTCGTGTCTATTTCAACTAAAAAAAGAATGCTTTTTGTATAGAGCCTGAAGATGCTGAGGATGCTGATAAGGATGTGCCAGTACGCAAAGAAGAGATTCATATGGACCTTTTACTCTGGGCCATTTTCGCTAATCGAGAGGAAATCGCAGAATATTTTTGGATGCATGGACAATACCAATTAGGTAAAAGCAATTTCCTGCATAAGGGTATCATTGTTTTATAATTTCTTTTGGACAAAATTTCAATATTTTCACAGTATGTAAAATTCTTTAAAAAATCATAAACGCATTGTCAAATTTTTTTGTTCTTTTTTGTCAACCCACTAGGATTCCTGTACCTTATTATGTTGCTTTAGTATAGAATATTTACATTTCGAGATAAAATTACAAATAGTAAATTTACTTTATTTCTCCATCAATGTAATGGTTCATCGGTAGGCGCGGCTAAAAAATTACGTAGAGGACTGGACAAATAGAGACAGGCGCGATTGAAGAAATCACGTGCAGGGCTGGACAAATAGAGACAAGCGCGGCTAAAAAAAAATCACGTGCGGGGCGGGACAAATAGAGACAGAAAGCGGGGCTTCTAGCACGTGGAATGGCAGAATAAAAATAATAACTGTCAGATTTCTCAATTTTATGACGATGATCAATTGATTGACTTGCGTGATAATTTCATGCATAAACACCTTCGGCGTTTTATGCAAATTAAAACGCAAGCCAATCGATTGATCAAATCATGAAATCGAAAATAAGACATTTATTCCTAAATCAAAAAATAAAGATACAACCTTTAATGTTTAACTGGCTAGCAACATCCTATGTTCAAGAATCGTCAAAGCTGTGAGCTCAAATAACGGCTGCGACTGACCTAAATTGATAAAAAATAGTTAGCTGTTAACTGTTTATTTGCCAAACGCTCAGTATACTGAAATTAAAGTTGCAGGTCCTCCCATTAGACCTTAAAGTTCAGTCTTCATGATGTGGTCTGTACTTTGTTGGCAAAATAATTTGTCGCAGTAGGTACTTGCACGAAAAAGATCTCTCACTGAACAAATGCCCTACGTACGTACAGAGTAAAGGGCTAATTTTAAGCCCTTTACTGGTTAAATGTGACGTGTCCAAAAATTTTCGAAGAATTATCGTAAAAAAATTATGCATTACCCGTCATAAAAACAAATTTTAAGAAAAAGAAGTAAAATGTCCTCATGTATGATCAATTTTTAATATATAGATTAATAAAAAGTCCGTATAAGTAAAAGATGTATAGAACAATAAAAACATCTTCAAAGCTAGGTTTGGAATTTCGTTTTCGCGTCAACTTACTTTATCACACTCGTTTGGCGATCATATATTTTCAAATCATTATGATAATATGCTTTACACGATTATTTTTTTATTTCAATGGCCGAAAGGGCGTCATGTGATATTCTCCTTTTTGTGATACCGACGCGAGACGCTGCTGCTGAATATAATATTACACGACATACGATTCGACTAGACCAAATTTACATAGAAGGTTATACGTTTTTCTATAAAAAAGCATGTTACTGTAAACCAAGTATATTACGCGTGCGATAAATATCCGCGAGTTCCGCGAGTAACCTCTGCTCGCGGATATTTATCGTCGCGAACCAGTTGTTCATTATATTCCAATATCATGATTTATTTAAGAAATGAATTTAATTTTTGAAGATTCATGAGGTTATGAACTACGACGCTTCACGCCGGCATATTTCATGAAGCGCGTTAGCGCTTCATGATATATATGCCGGCGTGAAGCGTTGTAGTTCATATACCTCATGAATCTTCAAAAAATTAAATTCATTTCTTATATTTACATTATTTTTCTGATGACTTGCCATAAATTTACGCCGTTCAAATGTCATTTTTAAAACAAAACAGTGTGCACTATATTTTTTTTTACTTTTTGACGTTAGGAGCGGTATTATGACGTAACAGTGGAGATATTCATGCTTATTCGTGATACATACCTAATGTAGTTCATGAGAAAATATACTGCATTTTATTTTGTAAAGAATCATAGGGGAAATTTATTGGAAATGTAAATATTAAGAGTTATTTGCCCTTTTTTTAATACCGACCCCGACGGTTCAACAAGTAATCACGGAAGAACTTTACTGTTAGTGTTCAAGAAGAAGAAACAATTAAAATTTCATTACAAACATTCAGAAAAAATAAAATCGAATGGCAAATTTAAAACTAATTGTCTAAAAATGATTAAAGTTTCAATAATCATTTCAACTTGTGTTATTATTGTTCATTTATTGTTACAGACGAGTCAGAGATAGCCTGGTTAATTACGGCTAATTTTGGCCCAGTCCTGCTCTGTCCCAACAATTTATAATAATTGCCCCTTGGCTATGTAGATCTTAGAAAGCGTCGATTACCCTGTTAGTATGAGGCACTTTTACAATTGAGAGTTTTTAATCTCCTAGATTTTTTCCCGATTTTCGTTTGAGCGTTGTGAAAATGCGTATGAAGTATTCTCATGGTAAACATTTCACCCACTTTAGGGGCGGATATAAGATTTTAAGTGGACGCAATGCACAGAATGTCTTGAATAATGCGTAAGCAGACCTCACGCTACAATTTTACCTAGTTTATGGGCGAATATAAGATTTTAATTTGATTGAAAAATACACGTGGAAATAAAAAAAAATGTGACCACTCGTTCGCGGAAATAAATCGTCGCGGATTAGTTCTCTAGCGGTCAGTCGCGAATAAAAAATGACGCGTATAATAATTGGTTTACAGTATTACCTTTGTGATGTAGTGATACATCTACCCAGGTCAGTTTAGTTTTGTCTATACGAGATCATTCACTTCGAGTGATGATATAAAATCGACTTCATTGAAGGGTCAACATGTGGCTGTAAGGACTCATGGCAAGAAATATGAACCTTAGATACAGAGAATGATATAGACCGTGCAGGCAGGCTCGGTTGCTATCTCACTTTCTGTGTCCATATCACTTGCCATGAGTCCTTATAACCACATATCGACATTTACTGTTCGTAATTGTATAATATATAATACCGGTAGATCAGATAATGAACATGCTAATAAAATATAATTAAGACACTTCATTCTCTAAAGTACAATGTAAATGGTAATTTATTTTCTGTAAATCAATGTCTGCGAACTATTCTAAGAACCCTCGTATATATATTTTCAGTTTCTAGTCTAGTTTGCACAATACTGTTGAAAAAACTTTCCGAAATGTGCTCAGATGAAAAGGAATATAATCTCTCCAGAAGGTTTGAAAACCATGCAAGGTATGATATACTGAAGTCTTTTGTTTCTTTTATAATCACCTATAAAGCATTTTTTCTGCCTATCCTTATTTATATGCATCATTACTTAAAAGAAAATATTGCATTTTTTTGTGCATAAACATGATGGTGTTGAAATTTTATATACATGGTATTATATCGCAAAATCAAAACCACTAAAAACACTGGGCACCAATACAAACCTAAATGGTTTTTGTAAAAATACTGACACGCAAAAGAAACTCAACACCCTTCTTTAGGTTATTTTAGGTAAAGAAGAAGGCACAGTTTGAGCTTTAATATGCCCTAAAAATTGAATGGTCTTACAGTACCCGCATCGTTATTCTTTACAAATCTATCGTGTCCTATCGTGCGTGTATCCTATCGTATCGTGCGTGTATCCTATCGTATCGTGCGTGTATCCTATCGTATCGTGTTTTGCGTTTTCTATCGTGTTTTGCGTTTATCGTTTATCAGGTTCTATCGTGTATCGTGTTTTGCGTTTATCGTGTATATTCGGAAACCCTCACTTTTCATCTTAACTACAGGAAGAAACTACCGAGGTATTCCGAGTTTCTTTTTCGTTTTGTTTACTAAAATAAGATTGTTTTAACCAAGAAAGAGAAAGGATAGATGGATACACATATTTCTATGTAAAACTTTGGTTGGCCATTTTGGCCCCGCCCTACCCCCGGGGGTCATGATTTGAACAAAATTGAATCTACACTATCTGACCATGCTTCCATATAAATATGATGAATAATGGCTTTGTCATTCTTGAGAAGAAGATATTTAAAGAATTTTCCTATATATTTCTATGTAAAATTTGGGTCGGCCATTTTGGCCCCGCCCTACCCCCGGGGGTCATGATTTGAACAAACTTGAATCTACACTACCTGAGCATGCTTCCATATAAATATGATCAATTATGGCTTTGTCATTCTTGAGAAGAAGATATTTAAAGAATTTTCCTATATATTTCTATGTAAAACTTGGGTCGGCCATTTTGGCCCCGCCCTACCCCCGGGGGTCATGATTTGAACAAACTTGAATATACATTACATGAGCATGTTCCCATATAAATATGATGAATTATGGCTTTGTCATTCTTGAGAAGATTTTTAAAGAATTTTCCTATACATTTCTATGTAAAACTTTGGTCGGCCATTTTGGCCCCGCCCTACCCCCAAGGGTCATGATTTGAACAAAATTGAATCTACACTACCTTAGCATGCTTCAATATAAATATGATGAATAATGGCTTTGTCATTCTTGAGAAAAAGATTTTTAAAGAATTTTCCTATATATTTCTATGTAAAACTTTGGTCGGCCATTTTGGCCCGCCCTACATCCGGGGTCATGATTTGAACAAACTTGAATCTACACTACCTGAGCATGCTTCCATATAAATGTGATGAATTATGGCTTTGTCATTCTTGAGAAGAAAATTTTTAAAGAATTTTCCTATATATTTCTATGTAAAACTTGGGTCGGCCATTGTGGCCCTCGCCCTACCCCCAGGGGTCATGATTTTTATAAATTTGAATTTACACTACCTGAGGATGTTTCCCCATAAGTTTCATCTTTCCTTGCACAGTGGTTCTTGAGAAGAAGATTTTTAAAATATACCACTAAATTTTCATTAATTCCCAATTATCTCCCCTTGAATAAGGGCGTGGCCCTTCATTTGAACAAACTTGAATCCCCTTCACCCAAGGATACTTTGTGGCAAGTTTGGTTGAAATTGGCCCAGTGGTTCTTGAGAAGAAGTCGAAAATGTGAAAAGTTTACAGACAGACAGACGGACAGACAGACGGACGCCGGACAAAATGTGATCAGAAAAGCTCACTTGAGCCTTCGGCTCAGGTGAGCTAATAATATATAAAATTAAGAAAATAATCATATCATAGACAAGCAGAGAATCAAAATTAATTTTTGAAAATGAAATAATCAACTCTGTTTTTTTTTCTTTAAATTCATGGAAATGAGTCATTAGAGGATGATTTTTGGTAAGTCACGGAAAATTTTAATAATAATTAGCGGAGGATTTATATGTATCTTTTTTAAATATAATATTCATTTTTTTCTCCCGATCAATCGTCTGGTAATATTAGGAATGTGTTTTCGCCTCTGATCTGCATGTACATGTATGCACAATTATTTAAAATCTTGATTTTAGATCTTGACAAGTAATAATAACGAAGCTTTAAGCATTTAAGACATTGATCCAGAAAATTTTAACACAGATTTTCTCCGTATATGTACAATCTTTTGAATTCATTTTTATCACTACCTAATTAGTTAAATTTCTTAATATGTCTAAATTTAAAAATGAATTATATCAAAATTATAAAATGCAATGCATGAAAATGCTCTACCTGATTTATCACATCATGCATGGCAGTTACTATAAAATAGAAGTTTTACATTTATTTTATCTGGCATTAGAAAATCTAAAAATAATAAACAGGAAAAAACATGACGGCTTTGAACAGCTTACCTTTTCGCCGTGGAAATAAACTAAAATATAATGCACCTGCGTGTCAAATCGAAGAGCTTTCCTTGCCATAAAAACTGACACGTATGTGTACCTCTCCAATCAGCACATTGCCTTCCTGTGCGGTCAACACTCCTTCCCCTTCTCCCCTAGCCCCCTAAATGATAGCTTGGCCCGTGTGTTTTCACCGTCAACATACCTGAACTGCTCTCTCACCTTGTTTCAAACAGTATCTATTTTCGGGATTGTGTTCACACCTTGCATGAACTAAATGTACACTCATAACAGATTTTTTTTTCTTCTAAATCAATTCAATAATTGTACAATTTATAGATTTGAAAAATAATTTCCTAGCTTGAATTTAAATTAAAAAATCACATAACTCAATCCGCTGATTTATTTTATCTGTACGATGTTTCCATAACTTTATTTTAATAAGTATTTTAATGAAATTTAAAAAAGAAAAAAAGATACTGCACTTATGGTACATGAACTTTCGGATCATCGGTTTTTCTTTCGGATCACAGGGTTTTCATCGGGTTAATTATAGGAAACAATGTCTTTGATTGTAGAAAAAAAATTGCTCGCATTATTTTTCAACGGTATTTTACTATAATAAAAAAAGAAGTCTGATTCCGCCGTGACCATGCAAGACGAGTAAATGTAATGCATCCAATCAGTTTATAGAATTAATCGATTTAATTCCATACGTATATGTCTTTATTTAAGAAATGAATATTGTTTTTGGCTACATGTAATTGGTTAGATCATGTTTATCTAATTTTAAATTGGTTACGGACTTTCAACATTCCGCCCTTTGAATACGCCGTATATGAGATTACCGGGTAAGTCTAAATTAATTTTCAGGGTTTAATAATTCATTATTTGCATTAGAAACAGTACACACAAAGTTTAGTAGCAATGATTTATAATTATTTAGTCGGAAAAGTCGCATTTCACCCTTTTAATATTTGTGTTTTCTATTGTAAAGTCATAAAAAAAGCCATTTTCGTTAATTAATACTATGTTTTAAGTATCTGATACATGTATATAAACGTTGACATATACATAAGTTAGAGCTTAGCGTAAACGTACAGGTACATGTATAGTTTTAGCAGATTCGTATTTTGTTGACACAGTTTACTGTATTAATGCAGAGCGCCATTATATTAACAATTATTTAGATTTCTACTCAGGAAATTAATTTTCTTGAACTATATCGTTCTTTAAAGCTGATTTCTTTGGACCAGTCTTTCGGCCGGTCTTCTACATGTATTTTTTCCCTAAGATTTTAATATTTAATATTTAATTGCGATTTTTGGATACACCGCAGATTGTAAGCTTTAGCATTAAATACAAATATTTAATTTATTGCATAAATTTCTTCCGTGAAATAATTTAGTATTTGTAGATAATTTCATTAGGTACAAATGTAATTTTTTTCATATATAATAAATCTATTTATAGAGTTTCATAAATTTATAATAGTACCCGTGAGAAACGGCACATAATTATGAAAGGGATTTTTGTGCAACAATTACATGTATGTTAAAATATCCGTAATTAAAGGAGTCATAGTTCAACCTTAAGATGAGACTTTCAACATTTACACAAATAATCGTAAATCGACATCTTTAATTAGAAATAAAAAAAATTTACAGTCTCCATTTCATAATAATCCATTTAAACATTGTCAAAAAATATGTATAAAGACACAACTTTTGTAAAATTACCAGTGATCTCAATTTTTTTATTATAACAATCAAATGTTACAGTACTTTAAAATTTAGATTTGAAGCTTTGCAAGTACTTAAATTAAAATATTGTAGTAACTAAACAAAATAATCTTTTCGTCTCGTCAGAAAACGTTCCGCATTTTGAAACAATCCTATCAGGTTTTGCGTTTATCCTATCGTGAAGATCGTTTATCAGGTCTATCGTGTTTGCGTTTATCGTGTTTTGCGTGTATCGTGTTTTGCGTTTATCGTGTTTTTCGTTTATCTTATCGTGCGTGTATCCTGTCCTATCGTGCGTGTATCCTATCGTATCGTGCGTGTATCCTATCGTATCGTGTATCCTGTAAAGAATAACGATGCGGGTACTGTAAAAAGTTATGATATTGGCTTTAACAATAGTTGAGAAGATGAATATGATAAATCATGAAAGAATATGGCATGAATGAGGACCCTTCTGGTAATATGACGTCATTAATTTCGTGCATTTCTAAGTTTCATGCAGAAAAGCCTCAAAATGACTCATTTCTGTGCTTATTTTCCCTTAGAAAATAGTGTGTGCCACCGTCGCCCACTTTAATTTTTGGATATTTTATGTAAACTGCTAAGACAAATCACATATCTCAAGATCTTTCTGGGCGACAGTGTATGTTTTCTGAAAGAAAATTCCACTGAAAATTGATGTCTTCTGCAACTTTTTAAGAAAATACGGGAAAATGCACAAGTTAATGACGTCACAATTAGCATTAAGAAGGTTCATATGAGAAAAACGATTAGTATATTCTTGCTGCAGAGAATTTCTATGATTAAGAAAGATTGAATTTTGTTTTCTTATATCACTTTCATATTTTAGAAAAATATCGGGCTTACTTTGTATTGAAACTGTACCTTCTTCTTATGTAAAGTAAAAAATTTCGCATCTTAAAATTATGTACAGCTTCAATTTGGTAAACATCGGTAATTTAACGGTTGAACGATTTTCATACCATAACCGGAAGTCATGTTTGAGTCTGCTTCACAGAAATCAAAAATTGCATGTTTAACAAAACATTTAGCAATATCATAGAGTTTAAAGGGTTAGTACTATTTATCTTAAGTACTGCAGCAATATTTAAAAAAAATAAACCCTCTTTTCGTTTCCCGTAACGATACTAAGGTATACTTGAAAATGGCTTATGTACGCATTTCCATTGCTCTAGCTGGAAAATTTCAATGTAAAGGTGATGGAGTGTTGTTGATGCGAAATTTCACTACATAATTACGCCTCAACAGGGTCTGTGGTCGCAATTTTTTTTGTTTATTAGCTTGAAACCTGGAATAAGTGGCCATCTGTCTTATGTGGACAATTTGTCATTCTCCTTCAAGTTGCCTCTTAAAACAGGTTTTACTGTACACTGTATTCCCCTTCAAGTTTTAGTTAAGCTTTCACTTACAGTGTCTTATTAAGGAATCTTTAAAAAAAAAATTGTGCGAGTTATTGATGTGAAAAGCACACTTGTAGATTTGTCATGTAGGCATATAAATGACGCGCTAGGAATTATACAACAATTTCATAGGCTAATACTAAAAATGGTTATTATTTTCTTATATTTAAAGACGAAATTTAAATTATGGGTACAAAAGTGTATTCGGTTACGTACTAAATACACCATGCAACTATAAAATTAAATATGAGGTCAAGTGTGCATGATCTGATTAACTAAATTGGAAACATATTTTGAAAGTGTAGATTAAATTTTTCAAATCATAACCCTTGGGGATAGGGGGCACAATGGGGGGATCAAGTTTATCATAGTAATACATAGATACAGTCTTTAAAAGTCTTCCTCTCAAGAACAACAAAGCCATGATTGGTCATGCAGGTATTTATATGGGAGCATCTTCTGAGAGTGAAGATTAAAATTTGTTCAAATCATATCCCCTGTGGCAAGGGTTAGACCATTTTGGTGATCGAACAGGGATACATAGACCCCGAAAATTTTAATTTCTTCTTCTTGAAAACAGGAAAGTTGTGATTAGTCATTGTTATATGGAAGCATCTTCGTTAGTGTAACATCAAGATTGTTCAATTCCCCCGGGGGTAGAGTCTGGCCTAAATGGGTTATCAGGGTTTTGCATAGGAATACATGGGAAAAATCGTTATATTCTTCACAAAGAAATGATTGATCATCAATAAATTAAAAGCATCATTAAAGTGGCTGCATCATAAGAATAAACAACAAAGTCTGATATCAATTAAATAGCATTCTTAGGAAGGGTAGATTTATGTTTGTTCAAATCTCCCCACCCTCCTCCCTGGAACCCATTTTATAATACATTTAAACTTTTCAATACTGAACTGATTTTTGCTTTTATCTAGGTATTTGCTTAGGTGAGCAATGTTGCCCCTGGTTCTCTTGTTACGAAAAAACAGTGCATTCAGTGCATGTTTATAAGGTCGGGGTTTATGAATCATAGGGTTGATAAAAGGACATGTAAAGTCATGAACTAGTTTATAGTTTGTTTATGGAAGGGCTCCTGTATTTTTCTATATATTCAATGAAATTCTTTGAGATTTGAAATATATGATTAAATTTACTACAATATATGAAACCATGATTTGATGAATGTAATATTGTCAAAAAAATGCAGATGGACTGAAATATAAGCTTTTACACATTTTGTTACATATAAGTATAAATGCCTTATTATACACCCGATATGCGTTTAACAGTTTTATATACAAATTATATGAATATTTTATGAACAATATAGAAAATGAGCAACGAATTAGAGTATACAATGAGAATAAATATATAAAATTGAATTTATCATGTTAAAGAAATCATCATAATAAAAAAAATTATATTAGTAGATTGAAAACATATTTTAGATGCAAATGTTTGCATGTTTTAAGTAAAGTAAATTGACAATGTCAACGCTTCTCTTCCTAAACAATTAACTTTTTTGTAGAATGTTTGAAAGAAAAGCAAGTATTTTGTTGGATGTTATGTATGAGCAGAATGAGAAACATGCAATGGATACTATGGATCAAGAAGTTACTGTTTTTGGAGTAAAAACCAACCCATTATCATTTGCATATGAAAATCTGATGTACGATGTGCTAGCTCATCCTTGCTCACAACGCAGGATGGACGTCATTTGGCATAAGAAAGTATATGGCATTATTACTTCATCTTCTCAATACCTTATAATCTTCATTTAAAATACTTTGACTTGCGGTTCTTGAATCATTCATTCTCAACAAACTCCCATTTGATCTACGAGCATTCAAATACATAATGAATTCATCTTATCAACATTTCATAATTATCTTTCCTAATACTATGAATTTCGGGTCTTTAATTTTTCTTTACCAACATCCCCCCCCCCCCCCGAGCTCCTTTCACAAGTTTGGTCATTTGGTCATCTGCGGTGCGGGTTTGTGTATTTTCAAATACATTAGCCATGTTATAACTCCTGTGTGGTGTCTTTTTTTTTATAATTTTAATCTAACATGCATATTTCCAAACAAGTGATTTTGAATATATTTTCATGAAGCGGAAGACTGGCAAATCATGACATTGCTCAAATTCGAAGTACACTGGCTGAATAACAAAATATCAGATTGGGTTTTTATATAGTTCTATATAATGTTCAGTTTGCTTTTACAAAGAGGATGTCATTTACAAGTGCAGAATTCCTTCTAAATGAACAACCTTCTTCATAGACTAAAAGAGAAGAAAATGAAGCTGGTTGTTGTCCATCTAGGTGCACCGTGTGTGATTTGTCACCAAAAACGTACTACTGCATCAACTACGTAAGTATTTGATATATTTTACTAAGAAAAAAAACAATAAAACTTGTTATAATTTTCTAAAGTACATTAACATTTTGATATAGCACTCACAATAAAGAATTTTTTATAGATTATTAAATCTTATATTTAATAATTATTTAAATAAACATTAAAACAGAATAAGTCAGTGTAGTTTATATGCAGATCGAAACGCAATTTCTCATAGTTAAATTTGGCATTGATTACCACGTATTATGTGAATCTATTATATCCTTAAGAATAATTTTTCTTTTGCATTTTGCCTGTCGTAACACAAGGGGTATGAACACCCATACATTACGGACACGTGACGTATGCATGAACTGTCTGTACCCAGAATCAGAGATCAGGCTTATCTTATATATTTTTTATATGTACATTTTATGCTACACCATCTACAGCTCAGGTGCAAAGAATCTGCGTGTAAAACTAGTTTTTGACATCTTCTCAGACAATCGGAACTTCATTCGACCTTTCCCATCAAGACTTAATTGGCTTGACAGAAAAGGCCGGGTTAAGTCCCGATGACTTGAGAGTTCTGCTCCCGATTTTTTTAATGAGCAAGTAGTTTTTAGCTTTATTACTGTTTGTTACTTCATGAAGGCATTTATTTTATTTCCAACATAAGGTGATGTTTTTTGTTGCACTGGTGTTGTACAGTGGTTTCGTACTGACAAGTGTGAGCGATCCCTCCTATAAGCGTGTTATTGCCAGAGGAATGGAGTATTCTGTGTACATCTGGGGTTTTGGAGATTTTATCGCAGAGTATCTTCCACTTTTTGTTAGTATATTTTTTAATTAATTGTATTGACGTATTTTGACGCTTAAATAGTGCAGGGAGAGATGACAATTAGACAGGCTTTATATATAGGCAATTTGTATATTTATACCCCCGCTTGACAAGCGGGAGGGTACATAGTAATCGGAAAGTCTGTCTGACCAATGTCTTGATTCTGTGGAAATGGATGAATACTAAATTGCCAGATAACGCGATTCCTTAATATACATCTCTATGAAAGTTGACGACAAAATTACATGCTCGTCCTTACACCAAAGATGACAGTCAAACGGATTGCCTGTGATTAACTTAATGTTTTAAGTATGATATTTATATATACCGTAATTAGTAACATTACCATGTATAATTTATTCCATTAGGAGAATTTTCTTTATTTTAATCTAAGACGATTTCTGGAATTTGATATCATTTTGAATTTAACTACAGGTACTGCTGAAATTAATTCCTCAACTTAAGTTCAGAAGATTTTTCTTCAAGCTGAAGCTGCAGCTTAATGACTTCTGGAATGCGATAGACCTTCTCTCTTATATTTTTCTTGCAATTGCGTTAATTGTCCGACATGCAGGGAGCAGTGAAAATCTAACATATTCCAGAAGAATCTTTGCAGTGTCTTTGCTAATAATGTACCTTAGATTCCTCCAAGCATTTATGATGATTCGTACATTTGGAGCAACTTTGATCATGATAAAAGAAATGGTATGTATGTATTACAATTATTTATTAATCATGTATTTAAAAATGTTCTTAAGGAATGATTCTTCTCATATTTCTTGTATTTAAAAATTGATGAAATTTTCACAGAATCAAAAAGACATTATCACTAAGTGATTATTATTATATGCTTCCTATATATAAATTTTTCTTATTTTCACATTTGGTAAAATCGTCACATAAATATTCAAAAAGATACAAAAACAGAAAAGTTTCGATCGTTTACTAAAAAAAACATGAACAGAGTTTTCGGTCAAGACTTTACCTAGATTGAAAGCTTTTAGAAGATTACATTAAACTTACATTTGCAAACTTCTTAAAGTCCTTGATTTTGTAAAATTATACCTTAATTATAATTATGTGAGACCGAAAAAAAATATATACGACACCTATTAGCCAAAAAATTATCCCTGCTAGATTTCAAATGCAGTTTACCGTTTCAATTTAAAGTTGTACAATTGTGACGAGGAAAGAAAGATGTGGTCTTTGAAATATTTTACACCTAAATAGACATCACAACGAATTTTTCTTGAAAATTTCACCTAGTAAGAAACCAAAGAAAAATTCCAACTTAATTTCTTTCAAAATTATTTAACAAGGTTGTATTAAATTTTTTTCCACTTTAACGAATGAAACTATATAATAGCTATCATATAATAGCTTCGGTGCAGGCACAAATCATATTCAATTATGCTTAAAGAATTTAATTTTTTGTACATCTAACACGTTATTTGATTAGATAAAACTTTAATTAATATCGTATAGCATAAGCTGCTCACGTCACAATGAATTGTGAACGTCGAAAACGCATTAATTCGTAAAAAAGATTTACATTTTTAATAATTGATTGATTGTATACTGTTTAACGTCCCTCTCCAGAATATTTCACTGAGGATTTAAAAACGGACCTGTGTAAATTCCGGATGTTGTATCAGTTTCAAAAGAAGAAATTGCATCCTTTATTTATGGGTTAATCCAGTCTAGCTGCAGATCTGTAGCTCTCCGGAAAAAATATATATATTTAAAGACCGGTCTATCAATATTTTTTTTCGAAGAGCTACAGATCTGAAGCTAAATCCAGCATTGTGTTTTTATATTAATCAGGGAGTCGTAGCATTCTAAAGTCTAACAATGTGCATTACATGTAATTAAGAGTCAAAATCAGCAAGCATCGGCCATTGAATGGAAAGTCAAAATTTTATTTTTTCAAAAGCTTTTGGTATATGAAAGATTTTGTCTTACCTAATGCTAAAACACAATAAAAATTTTTTTTCGAACGTATGAAGGGACTGGTATCCAAGAAAATTCATTTCCTTAGCAACGGGTTCATAAATCCTTATGAAAATCAATGATTTTTAGACATTTTTCTACGAATATTTTTTCTGAACGTGATAAGATAAGGTATTTTGGTTACTTTATTTGTTAAATGATGGAATTACTTTATTCTCCAAAAACAGGAAAAACAAAATTTCTGTAGTGATACAGTGGCTGGAACGTTATTGTTGACAACTTACACGAACGATCACGTTACACGCACGATTCCGCACGATTAACGCACGATTAAACCTGATACACGAACGATCTTTCACGTTCACGATTCTACACGTTACACGATCTTACACGATTGCTAACGCAAACGCACGATTCTTCACGCAAAATAGTTCAAATTATTTAGGAATCGATATTTCCAAAACGAAATACGGCTTTATATTGATTTTAGATTCAAAGAATTATCAATAAATATATTATACCATCGACTTTGAAAAAAAAAAAAACAGAAATGGGTATTTCTGGTACTAAATACTAATACTAAATATTATTTTAGATAATAAATAATTATTTAGATAATTTTCCGACATAAGAAAACGGATTTTTTTATCTATCAGAAGATAGTAGTAGGTGGACCGTAAATTTTGATTGAATTGGATTTCATAATATGTAGAATGGGGGATACGATTGGGAAAAAAATGGCAGCATGGAATCTTAACTTAAAAGTTATATCTATATGTTTTCATTACTTCAAAATGTTTATGAATCTCTAAAACATGAAAAAAACGACATTGCAAATTATTGTTTTACTTTAAAAATTAATTAAAAGTAAGCTACAGAGATAAATACTGTTAAACAAAACCCCGAAAACAAGTATTAGCTTTCCTAAAAAGCTTGTCTGACGTGGTTTGCTTAAATTCATAAAGCGGAAAAGAAATATTATATTATGTTATATAATTTCTTTCTTTTGATAATATTTCTTCAAGAGACCATGCATAATCAATATTGTAAACAATAATGTACAAAGAACTTTAAATTGAAGCTCCTGGCTCCAGGATCATGAAACAAACTAAGACTTAGGTGAAATTTTTAATCACCAATAAAATATTTATTAATTATGGAATTTTATTTCACAACATCTATGTGAAACAATATTAAAAATAGCCCTAACCCTGACCCTACTGGTCTGCTTGACTTTTACAACATTTTATTATAAAATAAAGATTTTGTTCGACTTAGGCTTAAGATGTTTCAAGATCTCTGGTCAGCATTTTTCAAGTAATGTTTTATATGTTAAATGGCCTAACTGATTTTTTTTATTCAACAAGCAGAATAAAATGAAGGTTGTAAATGATGAAATCAATGGAAAGACCTTTGATCACTGGGCGCGTATAACCCTATAACCCTAACCCTGGCGATAACAATCTTGGCAGAGCGTTACACATGCTGGCCATTCCCCTGCTGTTTTTGAAAGCTTTCATTGCTTCTCAAACCAGTAGATGTACAATGATTCTCTACTTAACACTGTTACATAATTGATTGACGAAATTCTGAACTGAAGCATCTGGGAAAAGAAACAAGAAGATGCAAATTAATTAACAATGTAATATCGTCCAAAAATAATCGTTGGATAGGAGTGAAGTATAACACTTCAGCAACACACAAATCTATTTACACAAGAAAGAATTAAAAGCGAACTTGAATATTTGACATTTTTTTCTGTTTTCACTGCATTTTTCTCAGGCACTGTATTATCAGTTTTTACAATACTTGGAGCAGGGCAACTAAGAGAAAATATTTGACCACGTGCCTGATGTCTAGGTACTAGTAATTCAATGTCAAGGTATAATTTTACTGAAAATAAGCAATCAATTATTTAACCATAACATGTAAAATGACTTAATCTTTGATACACAACACAAAACAGTGAGATATAATAAGGCATTTTTTTTTTATAGAGAACTGAAGCGGACATTTTCAAAGATGAAAGCGCAGATTATACTAAAACAATCGTATCATCCAGTAATGTAAATAAAAACTCGTTTCCTCCTGGGACGAACTACATGAGTCTGTAGAGATTACACATGTATGTTTGTATCGAAATTTCCACCATCGAACTATCTAAACAATTTCATGGAACGACTGCATAAATAAGCCCTGGTTAAATCTAGTACTGTCTGACGCCGTGACGTCAGACAATCATGTGCGAAAAGTGCATGTATATTCGCCGACTAACCATTTATGTTAGCGTTGAAAAATATTTATTTATTTGTAAAAATATTTTTTTTTCTTGATTATTTGAAAAATTAAAAAAAAAAATATCTTACCACAATTAGCAGCAAACAAGAATGATCTTCAGAAAAATATAGTAAAACATCTTAGTACGGTATATCACAATAAGTCACGCTATTTGACGAGAACATAATATTGTACGACTTACTATATTGCTTGTTTACAAGCAATAGTTAGTTCGTTCCGCCTTCAATTATACAAACTGCGCTTTATTTCTTTTTATTTGGATTAAAAAATAAAATATAAACGAAATACTTGTTTCACAGGTAACATTCCGATAAAAACTAACAAAACGAAATTTACACGTTTCTAAACGCACGTTCACGCACGATTAAAACCGCAAACGATTGAGTCTGTTACACGCACGATCCTGCACGTTACACGAACGATCGCGCACGATGCACGAACGATTCTACACGATTGGTTTGTCAACAATAACGTTCCAGCCACTGTATTGTTGCCATGACAACGGGAAAAGAACATGGCGTCAATGCTTATTAATTTTGAAAAAAAGTTACATATGTTTATCACTTTATTCACAAAATCAACAACCACTGGTGGAAAAATGAATGGTATGATCTTGTTAGGGGTTATCTATATGTCATATCTATACAATAAAACTTGCAGGCAACTTTAGCAGAAAAAAGTTACAAATGGTTAAAATGTGTGAAAATCTGGCATTTATAAGCTTTTTTGAAGGGGTGGGGGTAATTTGAATACATGTTCAGTGTCCATTATATTGGCCATATTAGTTCTGAACAAAGCATACTCATAACTTTACTATTGTTAACAAATAAATGCACATTCAATTTTATATTCCTCACAAACGAAACTTGGAAAAGGGGGGGGGGGGGGTAGGAATCACCTTGTTCACCGATCCATATGTAGGGTGAGTTCACCATGCATCGGACACATACCTTGCTTCGGACAACTTTAGGCAATAAACTGTCTTTCAACTTAAGAGTTCTGTGTATTTATTTGTTTCTGTCATAAAGACGAAGATTTAAATTTTTTAACGATACCGATTGTGTTTATCATGTTGTGATAAAAATACCCCGCAAATGGCCTTGAAGTTACGTCATATTTTACATCATCAAAGGGGAATAACCCGAAATTTATGATTTTGCAATTTTTAGAGTTATCGTTCTTTTAAATTCGACTTCCACGGAACGAGTCGGACTTTGGTGAATTTTGTCAGGGATTGATAATTTTACATAAATTATAATTAAATTTCACTTCAATGTTTGTTTAATTCTTATTAGAGCCGGTTTTAACTAGTATGCTTATTTCACAGTACATCGGACACAAATTAACCATGCATCGGACACATTGCGATGCAAAGGTAATCACTACCATTTTCATACAGAACCCAGCTGACAGCTGTTTTTTGCGGAAAAAGAAAATAAACATTCTATATTTTCAGT